TACTCTCCTATCATATTGCCATGGTCTCCCCAAAAGTAAATGTCCAACATGCATGGGAAACACGTCGCACAGTACCTCATTCTTATATCGTCCAATAGAGAATGAAACCAGAACTTGCTTATTTACCTTGATTTCTCCACAATCATTTAACCATTACAGTTTATATGGCCTTGGATGCTTCATCATAGGTAAATTAAGCTTTTCAACCAAAATAGTACTAGCTGCATTAATACAACTACCACCATCAATAATCACACTACATACCTTGTTTTTGACATGCACCTCGTGTGAAATATATTGTCATGTTGTACTTCATCATCTTCTTTGACTTGCACATTCAAAGCTCGCCTAGTGACGAGTAGTTCTCCATCAACGGCATATTCCACCTTCTTTTCCCACTCCAAACACACATCTGGATCATTTTTGCCTTAGACTGGAAGAATCTTCATCTTGATGCTGCCTAAGTCATGATCTTGCCGATCCCCCCACCTTGCCAGATTTTGGTCTCCTTTGTTAAATCTATATCTTTGACCCCCTTTACTTCTCATAAATCTATCCATGCTGAAATTTGAGTTTTGGGCATCATCGTTGAATGCGTCTTCATCATTGTCATCAAGATCGTGATAATGCAAATTTGGACTTCCATTATGTATTTGGTATAACTTGGCAATGGCTGCATCTTTCTTCTCCATTTTGTATTTAATTTCACCAAATATGATGTCTAGCCTCTGAAATTGTTGTTGCATAGCTTTGAGCATGAAGGAATCATCCACTTGGTGTTTTTTGTCATCACCACTCGACATGATTGAAACCTGCAAGGAATGTTAGAAACAGAAAATAAAAAGACCTCTCAACACTCCCTTACGTGTTTCACTCCACTCTCTCACAGAATGGCACTCAACGCTCATGTTTGCACACTATAGAACTTGGCTTTTCTCTCAATAGCTCACACCTCTTGCCTTTTTCCCTCATTCAACTTTCCTCTTTCAGTTCGTTATTGAACTAAACAAGCTCAATTCAAGTTATTTTGCAGCAATCTAACTCCAACAAATCTGCAAGAATTAAAGGAAACAGAAAGACACAAAGGAACGACCAAGAAAAGCAATAAAGAACCAACCCAAACAAATTAAAACGAACATATCAGTTCAAGCACTTCCTAGCAGGAATTGACTTGACTCTATTCCTTAATGCAGTAGGATTCCTAACTTAGGAAGGAATAAACAAAATTGCTATTTCCTTGTTTGAATAGAACTCAAAGAGAATTTCCAACTTCTTATTGTAGTGGGATTTCTATTCTTTAATGTAGTAGGATTCCAAACTTAGGAAGGAATAAACAAAATTGCTGTTTCCTTGTTTCAACAGAATTTAAAGAAAATTTCCTACTCCTTATTGTAGTAGGATTCCTTCTTCTTTAAGGATTTGGCCACAGATTTCTTCTCTATATAAGGAATTCCAACCACAGAATTGTGTTGCTTGTTT